TAAGCTTCACTGCTGGTCTGAGAACTGCGTTTAAAATAATCTTTCTAGAAGTTTGTTGCAGCAAAAACACAAGATGGTTCTTCTGGTATTTAACACATTGTGATATATAGTCTAGCTTCAATATATCAGAAGCGAAGCCTATTCCAAAATATTCCAAGAAATTGTAAGGTTACTTAATGAGATTTATGGCTGTGGAATGAAACATCCTTACAATTTATTAGCTTGCTGAAGGATTTTATCATCAAGATATATTCTTATTGCCTTATTTGACACCACAGTTATAAAAGCTAAAATGCTTAGTGTCAGCACTTTTAGGGGAAAAAATGAACATATTATCAGTATATTCCTTTCCTCTGTCAGAAGCAAGAAGATATGTTATATTTAGTTAATCAGGAATGATTCCAAATCTGGAATATATACTTGTGCAAGTTTTAATCTCTGTTTCAGCCAGAAATGATCAGTTTCAACTAGCAATTATATTTACCAGTGCAATTTCTGGTAATGAAACCTTTCTAAAAGTAGATTGTTTTCTTAGCAGACATTGGTCTAAAAGGGGGAAATAGTTTCTTTTTCAACAAGGGATATTTCTAATACATCAGGACAATATACTCACAATATAACCAATATTCTTCACTGATTTTCTCTGGCGGGAAAAAAATCTAAAGTCATTGTGATAACAGCTAGAAAATTTACAAAGAGCCCTGAGGACTCTCCCTTTTAGGACTCTCAGAGTTGAAATAAAAATGAAGTATTTTATCATTTCTTCCCTTATCCTTGTTTTCTCACCATAATTGGCAATTTGCTAAAAGAGCAAACATTTCACATTTTCTCTTGTCCTACATAGTTTCATTCAGATTCTTTGTAAAAGTATTGCTTCTTTTGTAAGCATGAAAAATCCTTACACATATGCAAAATTAGGGTGTTCCCAGGTAAGGAATTGCTCCTTTCCTGAACAGTGTCAACACTGCCATGGTTATCTCATCTTGCCTGTCTACACTTATACAGCCATCTGATCAGGAGAGAGATAAATATAAATTGTACAATGCTTTTCCTTTGTAATTCCAGGTCTTTGTGAAAGGGAGACTGCATTGCTTTCCTCACCAGGAAAATTAAGTCTGCTGCAAATGAGTGAGGGAGTTCCTCCTGCAGCAGATGTTTTTTTTTTAAATGTTTGCCATCTTCTCACAAATCAAAAATGCTTGCACCGATATACCTTCCAGTAGCAGTATTTTAGCAGTGTGCACACACATGCAGGAGTTCATTGCTTGTCTGACTCTGCCTATAAAACTAGCTACTTTGTACCAAAACGAAGTACTTCGAACCAAAGAGGAAGCCTACAGAAAAGGCGATAGAACGCTGTACAATCAGGCCAGAACATTAACAAGCAAAAAGAAGCTACTCTGAAAAGCTAACAAATTAGTTGTCAACAAATGAACCAGCAAACATGTGGAAAACTCTTAAAAATATCATTAGTTACAGCAAACCTTCCTGTGATGACCCAGGATGGGATACAAAACACAGTCATAGAAAACAGGTGAAGTCCTTTTTATTCCTTCACTTTGCTTCAGAGCTCTGAAAATCTTTGACAGAAGACAAAAAAACCTCCCACACAAACAGTTACATGAAGAAGGAAAAAAGCAACACAGACCAGGTAAGAAGGGCTGGAGGATGTCCACAGATAACATACACTGAGAAGGATGCCAAACTCAGAGAGAAACTATAAACTAGATATATTTACACACTTTGTTTCCAGCGTTCACCAGTATGCAAGGCCATACTCTTATAGAGTTGTCACAGCTGCAGCCCATGAAGAGGATCAAGGCCCTTTCCTCCCAAGTAGACCACGGCTCTCCCTTATCCTCTCCACTCTGCGTGCCCTAGGATGGATAGGGGATGGGCCTGGGTCCTCCTCTGACTGCTCAGCCGGCCTCTGCCCTTCCCCAGCCTCCTCCATAACTTCCAGAGCCACACTTCCTGTTGGCTGTTCCTCCTCTCCCTCCGAGTCAGTCTCCACCAGGGGCATGACACTTCCTATGCTGAAGGAAATCAACAACTGGCAGATAACGTGAATGTGTTGGTTTGAGAGAAAACTAGTGCCATCCATCTCCACAATCCCCATCTCAGACACACCAACAACACCAAGCTTCCTACAACTCACCCCATCCCATTGGGCCCACCATCTCTGGTGATTACAGAGAATGAGGTCTTATTTCACAGACAAAAGCCTAAAATAATTTATTATGTCTGATTCATGAGAAAGTCAGGCCTGAGTAGAGTAGCCCAGGGGTTGAGGATTCTGGAAATAATGTTAATGCTTGGTATCAAGAAAAATGAATTATTTTTCAGCAGTCATACCACCTGGAGTTGGCAGGGAGAATGTAATAATAGGAGCCTTTCCAGTCAATAATTCCAAATCCCTACCCCCCCAGTTGTTCCCCTCTTCCTTAGTACCCCCAAGAAAGGTAACTATTTGGGGCAAGGGACCCCTATCTTTGCATGTCTTGTCTATCCACTTTCTTGCAATGCATCACCCTTGGAAAGGGGAGACCCAGAGACGAAAGTTCAAATTATACCCTGTAGCCGATATGTGTACTTCTGCCTTGTGTTGATGGGTGCTTATTAGTGAATAAGCAAAAGCAAGACAGGTGAGCCAAATGCCAATGAAGCATTGGGCAGAAATCAGTGCCACCCGTAGTACCTTTACCCCATCCTAATCTAAAGCAGAAAATAAGAACTACTTGATTGAATTGCAAGAGGACACACAAGCATCCACACAACAGGCCAAGTAATATTGTCCAACAGTTCACTGATGGTGGTCCTTAAATTCATTGTTAATGGCAATTATAGCTCTGGGATAAAAACTATTCAGAAAACGTGTGGTCTGAGTTTTAATTGTTCTGTATCTTCTGCCAGAAGACAACAGTTCATAAAGATTGTAAGCAGGATGGGAAGAGTCTCTGAGAATGTTGTGCAACTTCCTCAAACAGTGAGATGCGAAGATGTCATGCAGGGCTGGTAGCTGGAGCCCAATGATATTCTGGGCAGTTTTAATGATTCTCTGTAGAGCTTTTTTGTGCACTACAGAGCTGCTCCCAGACCGTACAAGAATGCAGTATGTCAATACACTCTCAATGGTGCTGCGGTAGTAGGACAGAAGTAGATACTGAGATAGATTTGTCTTCCTGAACATTCTCAGGAAGTAGAGCCTCTTCTGTGCCTTCTTTACAAGCATGTTAGCATTCATAGTCCATGAGAGGTCCTCTGAGATATAAGCGCCCCAAAATTTAAAACTACCAACCTTCTTGTTATTGACGAGTTCAAATATTCCAATATGTAAATCAATCTGGACAAATTCATGGATTATCATTTAAATAGCTTTCCATCACCCAAAACATTCACTTTGAAAAACTAATCTGAGTAGAGCCAATTTCTAGTGTTGCTTCATGTCAATGTAATTATCAGCAGTTCCTGAACAAATAGAATGCACATACTGTACATTGTAGGCCCTTACTTATCTACATACCGCATACTTGAACAAAAGTTAAATGAGCCAGTGAACAATACAAAGTATAGATGGATATAACTAACTGAAGTAACTACGAGCCTGTTCCTGTTTGGCATTTAATGTTAAGCAGGATTGGGCTTAACTCCTGATTAGACTGGGAGGGGAAAAATCCCCAAAGACAATATAAAACTATTTCCCTTTTGTTGCATGGATGTGTTCTTGTCATTCCCAAAAATGGAATTTGACTCAAGGAAGCCGGTGCCCTTCATTTATTTATTTGCATGTTGCTTGTTTTCTCCTTTATTGCATCAGCACCATAGCACATTTGAAGAGCATGCTTCAACTCTCACATCCAGAAAGAAAAAACATGTTATATTTATATTGATCACATACTTTCTCCAACCAGGAGAACTTCTAATTACTTCATTCTCGGTGTGATTTCTGATAACCTGCAGTGACATAGTGAAAATATGTTGACACTAAGCTGAGGAAGTATGTCTGAAAATCACTGCAAATTCTAAGCCAACTGTATTCAAGTAGAATACATCTTTTTCCTCCTGTTCCTTTGACTTAGTGGTCATTCCTGGTGGCTGCCTAGACAAGTTTCCTGCTGTTTTCTTGGCAAGATTTTATAAGTGGCTAACCATTGCCCACATTCTAGGGCTGAGGAAGGGACTGGCTTCAAGTCACCCAGCTGGCTTCTTGCCTAAGGCAGGAGTAACTCTACTTAAAATACCATCTGCTTTATTTAAAGAACAACTCTCTGCAGATGTAACACAGCGTCCCAGACATTTTAAGAAATCAAGTTTTAATGTACTGCCTAACAAAAGCTGAAAATACACTAGTTGTTTGAAAGTGTAGTCATGGCAACTGGGCTGCTCTTGTTGGATCAACACCCACCCACCCACAGCATACCTGTCTTCCAGGTGTTTTCTCCTGCACTAGGCCATCCTCTTGTGTAAAGACTGCTTGGTTTTCCAATATAGAGTTTTGAACACTTCTCAAGGCCACTGAGTTGCATACACATTTCTCTTGTTTTTGGTATCTGATCTTTAGGATGGACAAGCCTCTGTCTCAATGTGTTGGTGGGTTTCAAGAAAACAGGCAATCTGGTGTTTTCCAAATATTTTGAAAAATGTGGACAATAACGTTCACATTTTCTACAGGGAAGATAAATGGTTTGAAAGAAGAGTGCCAATTTGCAAACCCTTTCCCTCAGTAGAGATGAATGCCTCAGACACAATAGCACTTAAGACATATATCACTCCATGCTTTATAGCATTATTTAAGGGTTTTCAAATTCAGGCATATTTGCCCCCAACAACGTGGGGCCTGATTTACCTCATAGCAAAATGTAAAGTGAATTTGGAATTCTCTGTAGAAAGTAGCTATGTATGCCCTATAGGCCCATTATTCATATTGCATTCATACAAAAGTAACTCAAAACAGACACCATGTGAGAACAAAGAACACAACTATGATTCAAACATTTTTTAAAAATTATTAGTAAAAGTACATTTTATTAACAAATACAGGTATCCAAACAGACTACAGTGAATTACAGGAAGATTTTTCCTTAAGTACTGTTAAAGCTAAGCTTGTATTCAGTGTAAAAAACTGAGAGGTAATAACACAATACCTGAAAAAAATACATTTAAATAATTTTCATTCATACAGTGCTGTGTTCTGATCAAGACTAGAATGGAGAAATTCCATAAACTATTATAAAAATTATTCTATATATTTTTCTATAAACATTTGACAGCTTAAATATAAATACATTTCCACGATCAATATATTACAATCGTACTGTCAAAAATATTTAAGCTTAATGTTAGTGTTTTTAAAAAAGTATTCAAATTACAATTCAACCAGCTATAAATCTGAGTATCTCTAGGAATTGCAGCAAATATTGCAGACATTACAAGAAAAAATATGAAATGTTAGCTTTTGGAAGGCTCACAGACAAATAAGGTTTTATTGTGTTTCAAAATTCTGAAAACAAGGAGTTCATAATAACAAGATGCTTAAGGCAACATGGACTTTAGCACTTTGGCTTTTATCCTCACCAATGTATACACATATTCCAACAAAACACTCGTTATCTTGCTTCCAACAAAACTAAAAGAACAGACTCTGTTACAGTGAACATAATCCAAAGCAAAAAATGCACTTAGGAAGAACTAATTCAGAATTCAGACATTATCATGTTTTTTTTCTCTCATTCTACAGCTGACTATATTAGGTAACTGTTTTAACCAGCATAATCAAGAAGTGGAAGTGTTGGTGAAAGTTGTACTATCGGTATCTTTATCAATTTATCCCTTTATGAATCAGTTCTATCCTGTGCATTAGGTCTAATTTTGAATTATGTTTGTTTTTTATGACACTTAGATGTTGAAGTTCATTTGACAAGTCTATCTCTTTAAAATAAGCAGATCAGGATTAATGAGTATTTTTGTATGGCTTTTGTTAACTGCAGTATTATTGTAGCAACATTCTATAATCAGATTCCAACGTGCAGACTCTACATTCATTATTACCTTTAATGCCATGCTTTAAGAAAGCACAAATACTGGATGACAAGTCCAGTTTCATTTCTTTGAATGCCTTCCTAACAGAAGGATTAAAGGTTCAGTGCAAGCTTCTACTAGCACTGGTGAGGAAGATCAACATAAGAATGCTACAAAAAAATTGACAAACACGATTTTAGTTTATTGATATCTTATAAATTCCTTTGCTTCTTGTACTGGGCAATAAATTACCTGAAGTCACCACTGATCAGAAAATGCACAACAAGCAGAGACCATCTACGTAGTAAGGCTGAGATGAACTCAAGACCATTTGTTTTATGAAAATGTTAGAATCCTAAAGAGGATGATCAGAACAAAAAGGATTTGTCTTTACTCTTTATTTCTCAAGCTCAAATTTTAAACAACCAACAATTTCAAACTACTTTAAAAAAATAAGATTCTCATTATAAAGATCAGTTTTATCAAGGATAAAATAGATGACTTCCCAGACTAGGCTGTTTCCATTCGCGTATGAACATTTGATGCCACCACTTATTAAAATTGAAGTAGGCAGGCTCCAATAGATCTTTCTTGATATTTTCAACATCTGAATTTTTCCCATGATGCTCAACTATCACTTTTTGGGAGTAGAGAGATAAAACTCTCATTTATTTGGGGTTGGGGGGGGGAGGGGTAAGAAATAGAACAGATTCTTGCTAGAGAAAAAAAATCATTTTTGTTTAATCCTGCTGCTGTAGGTTCTTACTGATAATAAAAAAGTGATCTTCCTTCCTGTGGCAGAAGAACCTAATTAAGAATAAGGCTATTGTAACCCTCCCCCTCCCCAATGTCTATGGAAAATACATCCAAGTGGAGACCATTCTGTATTAAAACTTCACTAATTATCTTTAAGCCAGAATACAACCCAAAGGACATTATGTGCCTCCCTGAAACCAATTTTATTCCCGTAATTGAACAGAAATATGGTTCAATTCTGTAATTGAAAAGAAGTGTTACATTAATCACCACCTAGATCAACATACTCATCATCTCTCCTGGCCAAATCCTCTTCACCTTCCAAGTCTTTCCAAATGCTGGTAGGCAAAACTGGTTTAAGGGAATGTCTCTGAAGCAAAGCAAAGGGAAATAACGAAGACAAACGAGCAGGATTTCTCATAAAGGGAGAAGCTTCAGTATCATCACGAGACTCAGCCTGACGATGCCTCTCATCTATTTTCTTCTGCAAACCCTGTACATCTTCCATTAGATTTAAGACATTTGTGGCAGTGGCAACTGTGCCTCCACCAGGGAGCTGAGCTTCAGGAATCCATCGTAAATACCTCTGTGCCCATACTTTGATTTCTGGTCCTTCTAGACATGGCAGGAGGAGTCCATGAAGGTCAACAGGTTTACTGTGCCACCTGTCATAGAATTCTCTGGAACTATTCTGAAGTTCATCAGAAGAAGTTATCAACCTGCTGATTCTTTTGCCCAAGATGTTTTTAATTAACTGATCTGTTTCTTCCTTAAAAAATCCCCTTCTTGGAGGAGGTTTTGCTTGTGTCAGGGGCAAAGAGAGTTGCCGCTGATGCTGTAAAAGAAATTTAGAAGACAAAATCAGAATTACCTGAACTCAATTCCAGCTTAGCTTCTGGGCAAAGTAGGCAATAGTATTAAATGCAAACTATAAAGACATCCAAGTTAAAACAAAATGCAAAAAAGTTTGAATCATTCTTTTTTACTTTTTGTAGGAGTTCTCATGAAGATGTTTACTCAAAATTCACTATAGTTATTTTAATGCACATATTCCAGCCTAATTGAACAATGTTATTATATTGAATTAGTATCCCAATCTCTATCATTCCTCCAGTTATTATGGTGGAAATATTCCAATATCTTACCTTGAATCGTGAAGCTTTTTTCTGACTTTTTTCTAGTTTTGGCTTTTCTGCATAAAGAGGGTTGTTAAGCAAAGCTTGAGCCTCGTGTTCAAACTGAACAGACCAATCCCAAACCGAAAGAAAATTAAGTTTGCTGCCTTCTGTATCAAGACTTCCTCCATACTGTTTAAAAAAAAAAGTCTGGAATTAATTTAGAAATGAATTTTGTCCAGTCAGCAGTGCTTCAATCTGCAATACTTCCATTTTAACTCTAACCCTAACCTAATCCATTAAACGAAGTAAACGTTAGCCATCAAACAGCCGGTTTGGTATAGTAGTTAAGATGCTGGCCTACATAACAAGAAATGGTGACTTCTAGTCCTGCCTTTGGCATGAAAGTGATCTGGGTGATGCTGGGTCAGTTTCCATGACCCTGGGATGCTACAACTGGAGCATAAGTGAGAGCTGGCTGCCAAGCACCCAAATTTTGATCATGTCACCGTAGTAGACATTGCAATGGCCAGAACTTTGAGGACCTTCATTCAGCACCATGCTCACATTGACTAGTTGCTGAACAAATGGTGGCTGTACAATGGTTATAACTCAACAATTACCTGGCATTTGTAGATTTTAAAATTTCCCCATTTTTCAGTAAACATCTAGATTGTTTACCATAAGTGTTCCTTATACATTTGTATGTCAGACTATGAAATGATTAAGGGGACAACAACAAGCTATTGTTAGCTCTCCTCATGCTCTACTACCATCAAATATTGTTCTTAATGCTTGCAGCAACCATCCTTTAATTCCAGATTCCTGTAAAACACTTCATAGTTCAAGCTTATTCATTTTACCATAAACTATCCCCAAATCAGCAGATGTATAATGAAATGTCTCACATTTATACACTGGGGTGACTGCTGAAAAATAAAAATCTGGTTTGTTATATCTTCTGCCCTAAATTTTGCTAAGGTCAAATTTGCTTTTGTTCCCTTTGAATCAGAGTTCCTTCAACGCCTTTCCTAAGAAGCTCAGTCCCCAAAGTTGTTCACTCTCACTATTTTTCCATTTATAGAAATAGAGCTGTGTTGGCACAATGGTTAGAATGCAGTACTGCAAGCTAACTCAATCCTCACTTCAGGAATTTGATCTACCAACCTTCCAAGGTCAGTAAAATGAGGACCCAGATGTTGGGGGCAATATGCTGACACCCTAAACCACTTAGAGAGGGATGTCAAACAATATGAAGCGGTATATAAGTCTAAGTGCTATTGCTACACACTGAAACAATAACAGTGTTCTTCCAATTCCATAAATGCAGTCTTCACATACATCTTAACAAAACTGCAAAGGTAAATCCATAAATCATAGCATATTTTTAAAACATTCCTCCGGTTAAATCATTTACATTTGAAGCATTATACTATTTTTAAAAACATTCTTGCAATATTTTTGACTCCCTTTTCATCTACCGTATTTTTCTGTGCATAAAACGCACCCCCCCCCCCCAAAAAAAAAGTGGCTGGAAATATCTGTGTGTCTTATACAGTGAACGTTGCCGAAGCCCCCTCCACCCTCCCACCTCTCAGGAGGCCTCTGTCTCCCAGCAATTTGCCTCCTTGCAGCAAACAGAAACAGGTATTTGTTCTTGGAATAGTTATAGTAGTCACTATTAAATTGGGTATAATGGTGCCTTCATTCAAACTTTGGATCCTCTGAGAAAGTACAGCATACTGTTTAAAGGATTTCTTCTTGAGCCCTGATGTGGCTCTGTGATCAGGGGCTGGGCTTCCCAGGATTGAGGCTCCAGCTCAGGATAGATATTTTAGCTAGAATTTACATTGCCAGCATGTCATTTCCATATTACCTAACATCACCAGTGCAGGAAATAGGGGAAGTGAGGGTGAAGGAGGTATGTGAGTGATTCTTAATTTGTATGTGAAGGCTAAAGCTTGGCAAACAATAATACCTACTTCTACTAAGGCTTAATTTAGCCATTTGGGGGTTATTATTATTACCTTGAAGGGCCAATTATATACCACAGTGGTAGTTAAGAATCACTGATATATTATACTAATACAGTATTGTCTGAGTTTCTTTACTTCTAGCGTTAGAAAAGATGAAGAATGTTGTCAGACAACACCCAGAGGATAAGGAGTTTCTGAATTAGCTGAATCAAAATGTAAGAATTCATTGCCTCAAGTTGCAGAGGTCCTCCTTTGCAAAATATTCTTTTGCACATTCTTAAAATGTGGGTGGGCAGTTTCCATTATATTCCATTATATTGTCTCATAAACAATTTTAGAGGCAGACTTAATAAAGTCACAAAGTTAGAACAAGCTATTATAAAGTAGGTGGCACAAGTAAAATTGAATCTGCTGAGCATATTTTTCATTTTATTCTGATTCAATACAAATACTATTACTGCCTTTATTTAAGAACTTCCATGGGCATTCAGATAATGATAACAATTTATTAAAATTGTTATCTGTAAGCTGCCAGATTGTCAGTCACTCAGGATGACAACTTGCAACAAAGAAAGAAATTACAATAAAACAAAAAGAAAAGATGGCAAGTGCAATGAAGTGAGGGGTCCCCCTCTCCTTCACCAATGCCCTGAGGGAAGAGTCAGGTATTCAAGGTTCTCCTGAAAAAGAGTAGAGCAGGGGCCACCCAGATCTTTTTGGGGGGGCGGGGGTGGGGGGGGAAGAATCTCACTTCAAAGGACAGGTACGGCTACCGCGTGCTTCTGCACGTATAGGTGCTTCTGAGGTCCTGAAAGATGACATGGTTTAATCAAAGGAACCCTAGAGCATGTCAACCCTGCAGATCAAATCAGCCAGGCAAATATTATGAGAAACAGGAACTCCCTCAAGTAACCAGGCCCTAAAGCAGATGGCTTGAAACAGGTAAAAGAGTTTGCTACTCGTCTGATAGCAAAAATTTGGTCAGTGTTTGGAAGGATGTTGCCTGCTAAGATCACCACCAAGAGACAGAGCTAATTAATGTTAATACAGTATACACAAATTATATCGTAAGGATATTTATCACTGGACATATTGATACTTTATTTAATTTTGGCCGAAGCCCATACAGAGAGTCCTCTACTTACAACCATTCATTTAGAAACGACACTGAAAAAAGTGACTTATGACCATTTTTCACACTTACAACTGTTGCAGCATCCTCATGGATCATGTGATCAAAATTCAGGTGCTTGGCAACGGACTCATATTTATGATGGTTGCAGTGTCCCGGGGTCACGGGGATCACCTTCTGAGGAGCAAAATCAACGGGGAAGCCAGATTCACCTAACAACCATGTTACTAACAACTGCAATGATTCACTTAACAACTATGGCAAGAAAGGTCATAAAATGGGGCAAAATTCATTTAACAAAGAATGTCTCACTTAGAAATAGAAATGTTGGGTTCAATTGTGGTCATAAGTTGGGTATTTTCTCTACTTGGTTGTAACATTTACGCAATTACATTCATTAATAGGTTATTGACCTGTTAATATAATATTCCCATTCAAATCTTGGGACATAATCCTTCTACCATTCTTTCATTTCAGTTTCACCCCAGATCATTGAATCATTTTTATTTTTAATTCAATTCCTTCGACTAGGCAGTCCTCATTTAAGCCCTTTATTACCCACTTCCAAAACAATTCATTTCCATGAAAATACTGTTTCCATTTGCTGCATTTTGGGTAATCAAGATTATTTCCCTCTTACCGTAGTGGTGTCTCTCTGGTGTTGAGAATTGAAGAAGAAGGTGCTAAATATGGGGATGTAAAGGCTGTCAGACAGAACAGTAAGGTATGTTTCTGTAAATTCAAATGCTGGTTGATACTGCTGAACTAGTTGCCAAATACAGTCCAGGAACAGCAAGAAAACTGGAGCCTAAAAAAAATGAGGAAACTACAACAGTACAAGATACAGTAAATGGATCACCTTCATTGAAGTGCTGCATTCAACAAGACTTGACTTAATAAGGCTTCTATCGAGTCAGGATATATCCCTCCATAAGAACTACTAAGATCATTACTAAAAATGGGGAGTGGGGGGGAAATCTCTTTCCACCAAATGAATTTCATTCCTCTCCTCTTCATTTCATATAACCCTATAAAACAGTATTTAAAATAATTTTTAACTGCATGCCAAGATAACAAATCTGACATATTATTTTATTTTGATAAATATTTGCTTTTATGCCATTTTAAGTATCTCACAGAAAAAAATGCTCATAAAAGTTATGACTGCTCCACGGTTGCTTTAATAAGTTTTAGTAAGTTGCATTTACTACATGGCACTCGCAAGTCCTGCAACCATCCTTATTTTTTTCTATTATCATTTCTTTCCACTGAAGTCATTAAGGAGTTGCAGTTCTTGTCGGAGGCATAAGTTATAGAAAGGGTTTTAAATATTTTAAGGCCTATAGGCATAGCTGGAACCTCAGAATGAAAATGTTATGAACAGCCAATTAAACCAACCAATCCAATCCAGTCCCTTGGTCAGTATTATGAATGGAAATTAAAATTCTCCAACGGACAGCTCCCTGGTCTTCATTTTAACACCTCTTGAATTGGTGGAAGAGTTTTTAAAAAAAAAAAACAGTTTCTCTAATGTTTAATAAGAATTTTCCTTTCTGTAATTTACATTCCATTTATGTGACATCATTTAAGGTATATGAAAAACACTATCATATATCCCTCTGGCAGAATATATTCTAAAGTCTCAGGAGGGAGTCAGCAGTGCTTGGAATCTCTGGTCGGCATGAAAAGGACTGGAATGGCCCCTCCCTAGCACTTCAGAATATTTCTACAGTTATGCTGTAATTGCCTTAGTCTGGCAAGATTCTGTAAACAGGTGAACAACAATAAAGAAACTACAGGTAGTCCTCTACTTGCAACCATTTGTTTAGTGGCCATATTTACAATGGCACTGAAAAAAGTGACTTACAAATGGTTTTCATATTTATAACCGTTGCAGCATCCCCAGGGTCACATGATCAGAATTTGGGAGCTTGGCAACTGGCGTGTATTTATGATAATTGCACTGTCCCAGGGTCATGTGATCACTATTTGCAATCTTTCCAACCAGTGTCCGACAAGCAAAGTCAATAAGGCTGGATTCGCTTAACAACCCCCATGATTCACATCAGAACTGCAGTGATTTGCTTAACAACTGGGGCAAAAAAAGATTTGCAAAATGGGGCAAAACTTATTTAGCAACAGCCTTGCTTAGCAAAGGAAATTTCGGGCTCATTTGTAGTTGTAAGTCAAGGATTATCTCTTCTTAGAAGTGACAATCATTCTAGAAGATATAGCATTTAGAAGTCCTTTACTTTCTTAATTTCTACTTTCCTGATCATTCTTACTGATTTTCCGTATCTGTTAATTACTATGAATCTTTTATGTGTAACACTGTAAACCAGACACACCAGTCAAGATCATGTCTGATCACTGACAGAAAGTAGAACTATTATTCCCCATTATTTGGAAACTACAATTCCAGTGATATAAGATAAGTGATATAATCAATGATATAAGATAAAAACCACATTTTTTGCAACACATTGACTATATTTAACTTCTAATCAAGAACTATTCCAATATTTCTTTTCACAAAGATTATTGGCAAGGAACCTGATTCTTTACTTCAACATCTGATTTGTTATCTAAAAGAACTCTCTATGTGTTTGTGTTAAATTTAACTCCATTTCTTTCCAACATATTTTTCTAAACAACTACATTTTAAATGGTATTTCTAACTTCTAGGATATTAGCTGTCCCATCCAATTCTAAATCATTTGCCAATCTGACGAGTTATTTTTACCTCTTCATCCAAATTATCATAAAAACATTTCAAAGTACAACATCCTGGCCTGGATGTTGTGGGATTCTACTCAATAACTCTATTTTAATGGAAAACTATACATGAGCATATGGCTAAACTGTCATGCCATTCAGTCTACGCTTAATTAGCTTGTCAATCAAAATGTCATGGATATTTTGCTAAAATCAAGATATATTTCATCCACAGCAAACCCACGTTCTGATAAAGAAATTCCTGAATCAAAACTGGCAGAAGGCAGTCTAGCTAAACTTGTTATTGATAAATTCAAACTGACTTCTGATAATTAATTCTGGACAGAGATAGCAGTGAGCCATTGCAGGAAAGGGCAGATTAGAAATCTGCTCCTAGTTTCTACTTCAGGTTCCCTTACCCATAACTCATTAGCCAATCTTCTGCATTTGTTCAGCCAGATTTTGCGTACTGCACTAGTTTCAAACCCAGGAAAACCAGGGGCTTGACCCAGGTTCTCTCTGGCCCCACCCCTCAACCAACCACCTATTAAACCTAGCCTGAGACCTGTTATGGTTCTGGGGGCCTAATTTATCAGTGGTTTGTAATTGGTGAATCACTCCCTTGTGACAACAGAGGTACAACCCTCAATGGGAAAGTAGAGTTGATTAGATGGCCTAAGAATCTGGTACAAAAAATATCCAGATTTTTCTTAAGATCTAAAGGCTAGTTTTACTGCATTTTTTTGTTAAGATTCTGGAAAACAGACAAAGCCAAGCACTGCAGAAGTTTGCTGCTGAGTGGCTGCTCCCTGCCTATTAATCCTACTTAGTTCTATGAATTGTTTTAGGACAGGGGTTGCCAACCTTCTGGACCTCAGGGACCACCAAACTCCTAATTTTAAATCCTATGGACCACTAATATGATTCCAACATGCCACTCGCCGAAGCGCCTGGATTCCCACTGAGGGGATGGGGTTCCTTTTTCCCTCTCTCTCTCTCTCTCTCTCATCTCTCTCTTTCCCCCCGCCCCTCTGAACTGGTGCTGGATGGTGGGAATCTGATGTTAAGAGTCCGATGAGCCACATGCTGAAGATCAGATGGCTGGTGGGGAGGTGGAGCAACAGGGGTGATACCTGCAGCGGAGGGACTGATGCGCATGGGAGATTGTGGCATCAAAGCCCTTCCTGGATGTTCTCTGGCCTGCGAGGGGGTGGGGGAAAGGAACCTCTGATCTGGTGTCACCTCCTGCCTCTGCGCATCGAGGCTGAGCAGCTGCCAGTGATGCCCTCAGGGGAAGATGTTGCAAGGGGGAGGCTCGACCCCTCCCCTCAGGAACCACAAAGAGCTCACAATCCTTCTGGCACCCACCAAGCCTCGTCCTTCCCACATGGGCGTGTGAGCACTTCTGCCAAGGAAGAAGAGAAGCATGGTGGGAGGAAGGAGGCTGGGTGGCTGTCAGAGGGATGGAGAGCACTTTGCGGTTCCTGAGGGGAGGGGTCGAGCCTCGGCCTCACAACATCTTCACCTGAGAGCATCACTGGCAATCGCTTGCTGCAGCTCAGGAGGTCCACGCTCTCCCCAGCCCCCTCGATGTGTGGAGGCAGGAGGCAGCAGCCACGACACCGATTTGCTAGGGAGACTGCAGGATTGCCTCACCTCCCTGTCAGTCATCTGGTCTTCAACACGTGGCTTGTCGGTCTCTGGACATCAGATTCCCACCACCCAGGACCAGCTCAGAGGTTCCTTTTCCCCCACCCCCACGCGGTCCAGGAAACACCAGGGAAGGGCTCCGACGTTGCAATCTCCTGCGCGCTACCCTCCCTCCCTGCGCGCATCAGTCCATCCACTGCCGGTATCACTTCTGTTGCAGACACAGGCGGGCTGCAGACCACCAAAATTTTCTCACGGACCACCAGTGGTCTGTGGCCCACTGGTTGGTGACCACTGTTCTAGGAAATAAAGAAGACATGCCTGAAGCAATACTAGCAGAGAAGAAGTAGGTGTGATCAGTTTGGGGTATAAGCTTGAAACTATGGCAATAATTATGGCAAAGCAGAATTATTTCACACAGCACCTGCAAAATGTCACTCAGCTACACTGTTTAGATGTCCTAGAGCCATGATGGCAAACCTCCGAATCCTCTCTGTGGGCATGCAAGCCACTGTCTTCGGGTCTCTGCCACACATGCGCAGGGTGCATGCAAGGACGCGCATACATGCATGCTGGGGCGGGGTGCATGCGTGCGGATGCGCACTCATGCACAGGAGATGCACGCACATTGCATTTTGGGGGGTTGCGCGCACATGTGCATGCTTGGGACACTTGGTGCCAAAAAGGTTAGCCATCACTGTCCTAGAGCCTTTTAGGGAAGGAGGGAAAGAAGAATCAATCAGAGTACATAGTGATTGCCTGGCCAAATATTTGCAGCTCATCCCTCAAATTCTCTAAACTTGAAGATAGAGAAATCTGATGAGGTGATATATTGTGATGTACCTGGGAGGTTTCTGAGCCTCTGGATCTTGAGGAAGTAGACAGAGTCCTCTGTGATCTAGCTCTGGCATTAAGATCTTGCTGAATCTGGCTGGTTAAAGCAACCAGAGAAAGAAATGGGAGTTGGAGCCACAGACAGAATAGTTAACACTTCTTGGAAGGAAAGGGAGATTCCAGCAATACAGAAAGAAGCACCAGTTTATTCACCTGTCACAGAGACCGCCTTAAATCCAGTAGTGTTAGACAACTATTTCCATAACTTGTTATTAAAAACAATTCTGAGTAGTGTGCCTGACATCTGATTTTATAGTTATTATATTTAAAGCCAAACCTGTGGGCCTATTCATAGCTTTTGAAGTTTTTTTTAATTGAAATGTTACACAAATGTTATATGAATAGATTAATTCATATCAATTGCATGTAGGGCTTGGCTACTTGTGTTATCTATCTGTTGGGCTCTGAAGGCCAAAAGCTTAGTGTGATCAAAGCTGACAAAGTCTTGCCTGCCTTTCTTGTTTCCTCATAAAATATTTTTGCTCCTGAACAAGAGCTCAACTGAACCCCTGAGATATTTTTGGACAAGCTATGTATTGAGACAGAGGCTCCACCATTTCCAGTTTCATGATTCTCAGCTTCCCTTCCTACACATATTTTTGCTAAAAACATCTTTGTAGAACTTTGAGTTATACCTCTTCCTTATCACTTTGCCGCAGATGGTTACAGCGATCCAAGAAAGCATGTCCTCCCATGATCCATTCTTTCTGAATAAGGCTCTGAAATCCCAGCTTTGTTCTACAGTATGAATCCATCATAATTTGAACCAGACAGGAGATCACACAACAGAGGTCAGAAGCATTTTCCTCTAAAAACAAAGAGACAAATAGAACTGTTTCAGATGAGAGAAAAGTGTTTGTGGCTACTTTAAAAGAAGGACATGTTTGTATTATTACAGTCCCTTTCAGGCAAACATTAATGTCTATTGAGTGGGACGTTAGCACTGTTAATGCGTTTGCTGAACACCCTGAATCTGTATTACTCTATTAAAATCAAATAAAGACCAAAATTAGTACAGAGCAGCAAATGATTTAGATAATATAGTATTACTTTCTCAGAAACAAAACATTTATCAATTTATTTAATACTGTACGTCATTCAACATTTCTCTGTCGATTATGATCATATAAACCAAAGGAATATATTCCAAAAGCAACATGCATTGAAGCAATATTTCACAGTGGTAAAGCAAAGATTACTGGGCATTATATCAGAATGAGACAGCATGAACATGGTGGAAGAACCTATACAACAGATTAGTTAAGCATATGGTACGAAATACAATACAGGACCAAGTTTCAGGACTTCAGGCAAAACAAGATAATATATTGTGCAAAAGCACGCCTTGGTAAGTATCAAAGCCAGTAACCGGGTTCATCCATCACACTAGAGATGATTCACTTAATGATGACCTACACAGAAGCCAAGCCAACAGAGTTCACAGAGTAAACCAGGATTAAACAAATCAAATTTCGTAACTGCATTATGAATGAGCTTAGCAAGTTTGTTGTACCAGTTCTGATCGTGCTGAGTAACAAGACTGGAGATTAACAGACATGCTAAACACCAAGCCATCTAAAATAGCCCTCTGCAGGCTAGCCAACTGTACTACTCACAGGTGGAGAAAAATGGGACAGCAGAAGACAGGGTCTTCACTGAAAGGAAAACAAGGAGATAAGACAGAGGACAGATGCAGGTGTTAAACCAGAATCCAAGAAACATGCTAGAAGGCCATGCTTTAAAATATAAGACAACTCCTTGGTGTATCTTAGTTAGAAATGAATAGCCATGTACACATGTATACAGACCTGAATACCTCAAGAGTGACCAAATGCATTTCTTTTCTACCTATTCTATTCTGATTACATTTAAGGGAAAAAGATGAATTAAACAAATAGGGTCAATCCTCTTTTAGAAATGGGATAAAACATGACATGATACATTTATTTTCAATGTTTGAATATAAATTTTCCTAAAAGAAATAGGACAGTTGCAAAAAAATTGACATTTAAGATTATATAATCTTAAAATTTCTTTAGAATAACAGCAACAAAAGTACTCTTTGAGGCCATGCCAATCAACTTTTCAAAGTGGTTTTTAATATTCAAACAGTGATGCTGTTCTTAAGGCAAGCGACTGACAGAAAGGTGGTACATGATGTTGGCAGAAATGTAGACCTTGATGTAGAGACCTGTGCATTTTATGTAACTGTAAATGAATTCTGAAACTGAGGGATAAAGAAAGGAGTCTTGTTAGGACTCCTGCATGCTAGTGCTTGACATGCTCTGTAAAAATGAATGAAAATTCTCTAATCCTCATTTATAATATATAGCTTAATAGAAAAAGTTATGAGTTAATCAGAATCAATAAGAGTAATAATGGTTCATGGTTTGAACTTGCTTGCAAGTAGTCATAATTCCATTTGAAAAAACCTTCAAAGCAGTTAAAACAAATAATTGTAATTTACTGCCCATTTTTATTTGGTAAGCTGATCAAGAGAGCAAAGGGTGGACAGATGGTATTTGGGTACTCTTTGATTAAACAAGTTAAACAGATCTGTTTTATCAGGATTCAGGCATATTTTTGGAATGGATTACACCAATCAGCCTATGGCTTTATAACCAGAATGTATGTAATTAAGAAGAGATTCTTCTAAAGGTTGTGCTGGGTATAAGAATTAGGTTAGTAGACATAATACCTCTATTTGGAAGATCTTTCCAGAAAGCGATATTGAATAGCTCAACTCCATTGCAATTGTATATTGGTCAAGCATTTATGCTACTCCCAAAGGTGCTTTTTCAAGAGGCAACTGGACTTTCTAGTTTTTTTCTTTGAAGGCGTTTCTCTTCTCATCCAGGAAGCTTCTTCAGCTCTCCTCCAGTTCTTCATTTTCAGCTTGTTGGATAAGAAGTGGAACATCTTCAAAGAAAAAACCAGAAAGTCCAGTTGCCTCTTGAAAAAGCACCTTTGGGACAACCATGACCTGGATGACTTGAGAATCTCCATAGACATTTATGTTACTGTAAAATGTAGCTGCCATGAAATCTCTCCAGAGGTTTGATCTACACTGACATTAGAATTTTAAGAAGCTGAATACTGAAAAGGCAATTTTCCCTTGCAGCTATAGGTAGTCCTTGATTATGAACATTCACTTAATTGTTCAAACTTGTGATGGCGCTGAACATGTGGTACATCCTCTGGTGCCCAGCTGGCAACTACATCAAAGTTTCTCATAGTCATCATTTGTGGCCTTCTTTGCCAGCTTCTGGTAACCAAAGGCAGTGGGGAAGCTAGTAAGGAGGTTGCAAATGGTGACCATGAGATGTCCCTGCTTAATGACCACAGTGATTTGCTTAATGATGGCAACTGGTAGTGCCAGAACTGCCATTAAGTGGCATGTTCCTATGTTATCATGCTTTATAATCAAACCACTTAGCTATGGTAATTCCAATTCCAATTGTTGTCATTAACTGAGGGCAACCTGTATTTTATTTTTACTTATTTTAATAGCAATAGCACTTAAGACTTATATACCACTTCACAGTGCTTTACAGCCCTTTCTAAGTGGTTTACAGAGTCAGCCTATTGCCCCCAACAATCTGGCTCCTCATTTTACCAACCTCGGAAGGATGAAAGACTGAGTCAACCTTGAGCCTGGTGAGATCTGAACTGCCAAATTGCAGGCAGCCAGCAGAAGTAGCTTACAGTACTGCATTCTAACCACTGCACCATCAAGGCTCTTATACTTTGGATTCAGTAATGAACTGGTAGAAAATGAGATGCAACACAGACAACACGGGTATCAGTTTGGATGAATTGATTCAGATGGAGTAACAGCTTGAATTTTACTCTACCTTTCTATAATGCTTACGCATTATACAAATTAGTTTGTATTTGGAGCTAATTTTAAAGCACATATTATTGTGTATTGTTTTTAAAATGTCTGTCTGTCTGTCCGTCCATCCATCCATTTCTGCAGGAAAAATAGTTATATTATCCAATGAAACACAAAAGATATGGGAGGATGTAGTTAATAATTTACAAGACAAGTAGTGACCCAGTCTGAGGTTATATGCATCCAAGGTCAGAAAACTGTCGAGTTTAAGTTGTTCTAAACATATTTACATGGCAAGCAATTCATGAATAAAAGATTAAGGAACTATATTTTATTTTATTTCATCTACTTATAATTGACTGGAAAAGGGGAAGTATGTTTTCTTGAACTTACCTTGAAGAAGAACATTTGTGCTCTGTACTTCAAGTAATTCAATAATATCTATTGTTTTTCTCAGACATCGCCTGGAAGAACATGGACAATTAGAGCTTTAATATATCCCTGGAAAGTTGAAGTGGAAAGGCATAATTCTGTTTTGGAATCAAGTGGGATCATGATAGCAATAACACTTAGACTTATATACCACTTCAGTGCTTTACAGTCCTCTCTAAGCAGTTTACAAAGTCAGCATATTGCCCCCAACAATCTGGGTCCACATTTTACCTAGCTTGGAAGGATGGAAGGCTGAGTCAACCTTGAGCCGGTGAGATTCTAGCTGCCAAACTGCCGACGGCCAGCAGAAGTAGCCTGCTGTTATAGCTCAAGAATCTTGGATAAATGTCAGTATCTCAAAATGAAATTTGTTGAAGTTCTTACTAAAATCTGAGGATACATCATCTCCCGTATTATATTAAAGGCTAGATGGTTTACTTAAGTTTTCCTAAGTATGTCTCGATCACACAACTTAGAAAGTTAACCTACCTTATGATTTCTAGCCAATTTGTACTTTCTAACAGTGAAAACCATTTTACATCAGTATCCCAGAATTCTGCACTGTTATCTGGAAAAAAAACCCAAGATAATAATTTTAGCTATTTACAAATGAAATATAGAATGTATGTCAATGAAGCTCAAAGTTTCAGAGAAATTAATGATTGTGTTATATTCTCAAATATATTTTTGCATCAGCACAACCCAAGTAGTCAGTGTACATGATTTATTGTTTTACTGTGCATTTAAATGTTTCAACAATATAATTCAAAAGAATGGTCAGCTATAGAAAGACATACAATAATTGAACATTTATACCTATCAGTAAACTAAGGAAACCTTCTGTTTCAAAGTTGAAATAGAGTTGCAACATGTAATTTTCCTTAGTTTTCTACATACCTATTAAAAACAGCTGTTTAAATTTAGTGTATGCAACTTGGATTTCTTGCAAAGATGGAAGGCTGCTTGAAAGGTCTTCAGTTTTCAATGCTTCATATGGAGGCTTATCAATTGTTCTATACATTCTAAATAGAACAGATTAACAACATTCAGAACATAATAGAATGCATTAAGTGGATACTTCATTATTTGGAATCAAAAGGGCAGAACTAGCAACTTTTGGGACAAGTGTAGCGAGATTGTCAAATTTAACTAATTTTATACAATCCTGGGATAGGGCAACAATATTTCTGTTTCTAGGATTCTTTAAATAGCATACAAGTTTACTGAAAATAACAAAGAATATATGGGTGCCAATCTTCCTGACCTCCTTCTCTGCATTGTTATAAGAGAAAAGTATATCTTATTGTGAAGAAACTTAAACCTTTCTGAAGTACTGTATTAAGCATGTATTAATAGTAGAGAATTTCTAATAAAAAATATTTGCTATATAAACTATTGTTACATTTCCAACATCTTTCTTGCAGTTGCCATTTATTGAACTGTGTTATTATATTTTGGAGTGTTTTATAAGTTTGATAAATGTATTAATAAAACTAAAGGACTGGTGTGCTAATGCATGGATTTTTATACCTTTTCTCACCTCAGCCCCAAAGCAACTTCAGCTGTGATTGTGATTCAGACTTCCTTTTCTTAGCCAGATGAGTGAACAAACTGTTCACTAATACCATGGTCTAAATCAGCGGTCACCAACTGGTGGGCTGCAGCCCACTGGTGGGCCGCGAGAAAATTTTGATGGACCGCAGATAAATCTCACCCTCAGAGCACCCCCCCAAAGCAATTAATCCAGGCTGTACAGAAACACAAGGCTGCTCAGCCCATATGGCCCTCGGGAACCCTCCCCACCCACTCACTCCTTACCCAGTAAACTTGTCTGCTAAGTTGCTATTTTTCCTTTTTCCGACTGTCATCTGTTCTGCTGTGCTGGGAGATTTAGATTAGCTAGGAAGCAGGAAATGGTTGGATTTCTTGCTTTCTAACTAAGCACAGCCGAACCTCCCTTAGGACTGAAGGTTTGCTTGCAAGCAAATTCAGTGCAGACTCAAGGCAAGCAAATTTGAGAGGCTGAGCTAGCCGATGACAGATAGATAGATCACTGAATGATTCTGTGAGCAACTCAATCTGCCTGCTTTGCCTGATTTTGGGTAAAAGTTGCTTTAAAAAAAATAAAAAATCAATATTTACATACATGGTATGTTGTGAGTTAATTTTGTGAGTTTGCTTGCAAGCAAATTTTGTTTGACAGACTGAGCTAGCCAATGGCAGATAGATTTCTGAATGAATCTGTGATTCTGTGAGCAACTCAATCTGCCTGCCTGCTTTGCCTGATTTTGGGTAAAAGTTACTCTATTTTTATAAAAAATTCAATATTTATATATTTATAATATTTACATACAATCCATGCCCAGCCAGTCACATGACCAAGCCACACCCACAAATTAGGCCATGCCCACAAAACCAGTTAGTGGTCCCTGGGATCTAAAATTATGAGTTTGGTGGTCCCTGAGGTCCAAAAGGTTGGCGACTCCTGGTCTAAATTATATTGATACTTACACATAAAATATTGCTGAATATTTCCCTACTGCCCAAGAATTTGTGATTTAAAGAAACGGGGAATTAAAGATATAGGTTTGTTCAAAATTTGCAGTTCCTGAAAAAGGAAATCCTAGAGAAATTTCTGTGACCAGATACATCCAGTTACTCCACAAAGAGTCATCTGTGGCATTCAGAACACTCCACACGGGTTATGTTAATATTTCTTTCAGAAAAGTGCCAGATCACCCAGAATAGTGATCCATAGAAGGGACAAATGTCTAGTATATTATCAATGGAAAAGAAAATGATAGCTTGCCATTAGGAATTAAGTATTCAAAGAGTGATTGCAACTGAAAATGCAAATATACTATGTTGAAACAGAACTATTATTTACCCATCCAAGAATAGTCTATGCAGCTGGGAAGTGTTGTCATCTTGTTCTTTGGCAAAAGTTGACATTTTGAGGAGAGCAGCGCCATTATGGCAAGACCAACACCAAATCTGCAGTAGGTATTTACATGTGATTTGGTTAGTAGTAGATGTCATACAGCACACAAGAGTAATCCACTCACCATGCATGAAATTCAGTCCCTGAAGAGCACTTAATATGAAAGTGGATGAAACAGTTTGGATAATTCTTCAAGCAACAATTTGGATTATATTAATATGGTCCCATGTTCTTTCCCCATTAGATCTAACTACATTCCCCATCTGGATTTACTACTTGCATTAAGAGTCAATATATAACCGTGTAACAGCAGCTAAGTTTTCTGTTATCCTTTTTGTTTTGCAAAAAGGGAATTTTAAAAGCACCACTGAATAAGAAATTGCTGAACTAGCATAAATCAAAATGTTTCGGGAAATCTCAGTCAGTTTCAATAAACAAGAAGCTTTTAACATATTACTATTGTTAAATGGTAAGATTCTTGTAACCTGTCTCATATGTACCCTGCATTTGCATAATCAACCCATTTTCCCCTCCCTTTCCCCCTCATCTCACCCCAATTTAAATCTAGTATTCTATGTATCAGATGCAAGGAGCGCATTTCATAAAAATGTGTGCCTTTTAATAAACTGTGTTGGTTGGAGAAGGTGCTTCCAGATTCTTTCTGATTTTTGCCATCACAGACTAGCATGACTCTAGAGTCATTTACTAGAGACAAATGTTTATATAGCATATAAGCTTTTCTCTAGCAATTTGAACTTTTTTTCTAAAAAAAACCTGGTTTCTAAAAGAAGATATCACTCATTCAACACTTTCAGTTTTCTTCTAACACATGTAACATCACTAGAGTATCTAAGCGTGCCAACCCAGAAGAAAACCCATTTAGCTAACAACTGGAACAATGATTTTCTTAGCAATATCAGCTTGTAAAAAGAAATTCTTTGGAAATTTTGATTATCTCTTCCTTAATCTGTTCTAAAAAGAAATTAAAACATATATTCAAGAGTGATTTGAAGATGGCTGCCTGGGTTTTATACCTTTTGGAGAGGATTTCTTATCATTTGTAAATGAAATAATTATTACATTTAAACATTGGGGGGTTATTAGCAGGTTTTTATTTATGGTATCTTTTATATGATGCTGCTAGATACTATGGGATGGTTTCACTGGTTCATGGGAATGAGCGTGGGAGATAAATATGATCAATATAAATGAATGGGGTAGTGAGGAAAGCTAGTACTATGTAGCAGGTTAAGCCGTTAGGCTAGGGGCAGGAAAACCTTTCTAGTCCTCCTTAGGGACAGAAACCAGTTGGGTGACCTGGATCAGTCCCACTCTCTCAGTCCACATCAGTGCTAGGTTCTGCAACAAAGAGGCCTAACAATAACACTTCTTGTCACATCACACATTGGTAGCTTTGCTGCATGAACCATTGTGAGTTGTAATGCAAAATAAATCCTAGAGGTAAGCAACACTCACCCTAGGAAGAACAAAATGGGATAGAACTAGAAAAGCTGACTCTACATGTATCAGCAGAATACTAAAGCAGAGCTACAGTTTGCTAAATTGGAACTGGAAACTCAATTTGAATCAGGTTAGTGGTTCTGATCTGAAAAAGGGCTAATTTGCCTTAAAAGGGGGGGAGGGAGTACAAAGTTCATTTCCACTCATCCAAATCAAAGGACTGTTTGAACTGATCTATTAACTATATTTATTCATTAATCCTACTTCCCAGAAGCAAACAATACATTGAGCTACAGAAATATGAGACAAGCTGTAATATTCAGTTTTGCTTAGCTCTGACTGCATTATAAATTGCACTCATTTGATGTTATCCAATCATTTAGTAGTAATAAAGGAAGCCATCTCTGTGTGTGTGTGTGTATTTATATGCATATGTAATACGATGTAATATAATATACATATGTTTATCTTTACTAAAACCTTGTTCAAACTTGTCAACAAATATACTCACTGGAATTCCTCTTCCTTGATACTGCAAAATGCTCTCTTCAGAAATAGCCATTGGAACAACAAAATAAGCAGGCAACCTGAGAAATATTAATTTAACAAATTAAAATCTGCAAATTATTCAGGCTTATCTCTCAGTTGGAGCTTCTCAGTACAGCTCAGTTACTTCGGATTGTACAGAAGGACTGAAGTCATTTCAAACAACTGATTGTCTTGTGGCAATGAAGACTGCAGCCCAAATCTTATATTCTCTTGGGTTGAAACCTTCTATTAAATAGAAATCTAGTTTTATATTCCTCATTCTTGCTAGGGAGCTGGTGGCTATCATAACATACCTAACAAATTATCCTGTAATTATTATCCTAATGGATTTTCCTGTAACAGAAGTAACCTTTGAAAGTGGTGAAAAATGGGAGCAAAATTTATCATGAATCTTGAACTAAAGAAAATGTATTTTATTTCTGTACAAGAGTTTAGAATCCAGCATCTACCCATCACGGTTATTTCATGAACCTGTATCACTTGCTATATCTACTGGCTCATATTTCAATTTATAATACAGGTATTCCTTGAATTATGCCAGGTCTTCTTTCTGAGGATGCTTGTAATGCTTCTGAGGCCTTCTGAAATCCTGCAAGAAGGCTGTGCCAGCCATTTCTTATTCTTACAATGCTTTGGAAAGCTTCCAAGGCCTTCTGGAGCATCATGAGAACCCACCACGGAATTTAGGTAACAGTAGGCACAGCCTTCCTGTGTGGATTTAGAAGGCCTCAGAAACTTTCTAAAGCACTCTGAGAAAGGCAAATGGCCTTGGGAAGGAGTTATGGCACAGCCAGCTGCTGCCTAGCATAGAGCCAAGCTGGGCACGCTTCATCAGCAGTGAAAAGAAGATGGTGAGGGTTGGTAAGGCAAATGCTGAGCAGAGGGGCAGGCCGGACAAGAGATATAAAATGGAAACCAGTGTGAGTTATGGATTGTTCAGTCAACAATCTTAATTTTTAAAAAGTGATGAGTTCTTACTTTTTAGAGACTTTATAACCTTCATTGGCATTCATTGCTTTGAATTTTAGATTTCCTTTGGTCCGCTCCAATTCTTGACGCCAGTCTTTAATAGAATCAAACCATACCACTTGATTCTCGTTCTCTGTTAAAATATAAAAAATTTTTTAGACTGGACAATTTTGAACTTTTCAAATGGATTTTGCATCTTAACCAAAAAGCTGACAAGTTTGTGAAATATGCTTTTTAGTAGGACAAACACATTTGATTTTTTTTCAATTCTAATATAGGTTTTGATCTTAGAAGGAGCAATTACCATTCTGAAATGTTTCACAAAGCCAATTTTTCAGACTCATCATAATTAACAGGGGATGCATATATTTTCATTTTTAACAGAAATAGTAGTGCCCTTTTTACTCAAATTCCTGCATACAGAATATTGAGTCTTTTACAGGAATCTGTTGAAGCTCATCTCTTGATCATACATGAACAGCTATTATATAATCTATTTCTCATCAGTATTAGACAGGACAGGACAGGTAACCAATTCTGTTTTAAAGAAAGTTTGTCAAGACGATAATTACCTAGAATCAAAATAGTAAGCAGATATGTTGTGCATGCTTACCTAAATCATTTGGGGCAGCTGATGCATAAGAGAACAGAAACAAGCGTTTAAATAGTTTAGGGGTCTGTGTTTGATGAACTATGCCACTGACAATCTAAGAAAGGAACAAGAAATCATCATATTTATAAGCCATTCATGTTAGTTAGAAGAACCAAGTACCTTCCAACTTTTCTAGACTGAAGAATTTCCTAAAGTGACCCTATAAACCTCAAAAGGCTAAATATAAATTCCATTGAAATGCTGTATATGGACTTCCCAATAGCAATAGCATTTAGATTTATATACTACTTCATAGTGCCTTACAGCCCCCTCTAAGCCGTTTACAGAGTCAGCATATTGCTCCAACAATCTGGGTCCTCATTTCACCAACCTTGGAAGGATGGATGGCTGAGTCAACCTTTAGCCTGGTGAGATTCGAACTACCAAATTGCAGGCAGCCAACAGTCAGCAGAAGTCTGTCAGTACTGCATTCTAACCACTGTGCCACCATGGCTCATTAGCATTAAAATATCTGACTAGAAGATGCTGTCCAGGATACTGTAGTACAAAGGATACAAATCTCACAAGTGGCTTGCATAGTTATTTGTCAGTAGATAGAATTGTGTTTGATCTAACAATTAAATCAGGACATGGAAACATATGCAGAAAGTTCTAGAAGTCAGATTAAAGGAATGAATGAATGAGGAAGCTGAAGACTGAAGAATGAATGAGGAATGAGGAAGTTGAAGATTAGGACCCCAAGTTGATTTCCTCTGTAATGCTATCTCTAGTTATAAGGGTCATGATTTTTATGAAACGAAGATTTGGAGAAGATTGAGAATGTTCAAAACTCCATAATTTGACCATACATTTCCTGCATCTTAACCTACAAAACTGCAATACATTTCCAACACTCAGGTAAGAGTTCAAAGCAAATCAAACACAGAGACTCAAGACTTATTAACAGCCACAGGAGCTAAAGCACAACACATTATATACAGTTAAGATTCATCATCTAAAAACAAATTAAGGAATAGTCATGAAATCAGTGCCACACAGTACTGTATTTTTCTTCACTTTATGTTAAATCAAATGAGAAATATTCATATGGCACAATTAATTTGTAAATGGAATCCAGCAGTTAGGATATACTCTATTCCTTACTCTGAAATGTGTAATATTTTAGGAAAAAGTGGATTCACAAATGAAGGCAAAAAGTGGGTAATTTATAATGGGTTTTGTTTGCCATTCATTTAGAATGCAGGTTGAAAACAAATGGTTTATAGTTGAGTATTTTGTGATTAACTGAAAACATGCCTAAGCCACAGCTAGACAAAGATGCTTCAACAAGGCAGGACTTCTTTTCCTATTTAATTTTTGGACCTTCATAAAAAAATATAACTCAGTTGTAACATGAGTGCTCTTCATGGATGTTTAATCATATTCCAAAGATTTTTGTTTTAAAAAAAGGAAATAGGTAAGATCATAATTACCCTTTTAATTTCTTCTTCCTTGGTATACCTTAAACAGAAGTGAAACACTCTAAGATCTTTGCAGTAGATGATTATTGTATCTGGATATTTTCTCAGTTGACCACTTAAGGGTTTCTTTTTCTCATCATAAACTGTAAGAAAATATAGGTTAGTTTTAACATTTATTCAGGTAAGCAACTTACTATTTATCCAGCAAATCAGTAAACTTAAATCTTCTTGCACCCAAAATATTCCTAAGTTTATAGCCATCATACTGAGATGAGAATTTTTTTTTTCAACTTGCTTGAGAAACTAGAAAACCATTTCAAAATTTAAAATGCTGGTATATACAGTTTCATAATGAGTGAAATACACCTGAAAGAACACATTGCTTAACAGAACCAGCGTGCAGATCTGTAGCTTGGGCTGTTGCTAATGTTATCTCTGCAACCCTACTTTTGGCACTATTATCCTAATCGCCACTTGCAATTTACCTTCTTTACCTCCTGCAATTCTTGTTGAAAATACAAACAATACCCAAACTTTACCCCTCAAATATTTGTATGTCTGAAGATTTAAATAATACTGAATACATGCTTCATGACAATTTACTGCTCAATTTAATTTTAACTAGAACAGAAAGTCTTTGCTTGTGCTGACTCATGCATACAGTGATAACCTCAAGGCTGGGTTAGCACAGTATGGTCTTTGCAGAGAAGGCAATGACAATAATCTGAAAACCACCTGGTCAAAAATATATCAGGGCAGATAACAAGTTGTTCCTTTCTAAGTACAGGTAGTTTTTGACTTACCCAACGGAGCCCAAAATTTCCACTGCTAAGCAAGATAGTTAAGTGACTTGTGCCTAATTTTATGACATTTTTTTATTTTGCTATAGTTAAGCAAATCACTGCAGTTGTTAAGCAAATTGTGTGGTTGTTCAGTGAATCCAGCCCCCACCCCCTTGATTTTGTTTGTTGGAAGCTATCTGGGAAAGCTATAAATGGTGATCACATGAGTTGGGAACAATGCAACTGTCATAAACACATTCAAGCTGCCAAGTACTTGAATTTTAATCCCTTGATCATGGGCACTCTGCAACAATCTTAAGTGTGAAAAGTGGTCATCAGTTACTTTTTTCAATGCCATTATAACTTCAAATGGTATTGAATAAATGGTTTTAAGTTGAGGATTATCTGTACATCATAGTATATCACAGGTTGCTCTCCAAGGCAATTCAAGGATCTCACAATGCTGTTAAAACTCTGGGTGGTTTAGAACCAAATATCTCCAGGAATCTCATTTCCCATACAGTCCACAATGGAAGGGAGCAGGTTTTGTAAGAATGGAGACATAGTGAATGCAGTGCTGTACATCAGATTTAATTAGACATGCTTTTATATCCAACTGTGATTTTGCTTATTATTTCTTATTTTTCTTCTTTACTCTACATGTATTACTTATCACAAATATGCATCATTTTGTAATAAAAAACATAATTAAAATATTAACATTACATCTAAATCACCCACATTTGACTAAACTGAACATGTATTTCTGATAGCCATGTACTAATTAAGATAAAACAATTATTAATGCTAACCTACCTCCATAAAGTTGATCTACACATTGAAGGGTTACGTCATTTTCTTCCAAGATTTTATTTTTGAACTGCGGTTCCTAGAAGAAGAAAATGCCTTAACTTTTGCTTAACAGAACAGAACATAATTTAATAAGATTTCTCTTTTACTACCAATACAGTAGAATATATATACAAAAAGTTAATTAGCTCTTTTTATTTCTGGAATATTAAACCTCTAAGAATTATCATCAACATTATGAACTACAGCTGAATCTTAACCACAGTTTTTTTTTTCCTTTAAAGATTCTAATCCTTCTCAGAACTGTGCCAAAACCAACCCTGGTATTTTCCACAAATAATATTCTAATTTGTCAAGGATTTAATATTTTCATTTTCTGCCAAAAAACTTCTTAAAGTCTTTGGCTTACACACTCAAAATTATAGATGTAAAATTGTACTAAATTCATTATAGGGAGAGCAATAGCTTAGCTTTCCAATATTCTTTTATAAAACGTCATGCCTGATTCATTTCCGAGATAAAAAGTACATCATGTAACAGAATTTGCCTACACAAACAAAGACTAACTTTGATCACTTACTTCCTCTAAAGTGGATTCTTCTCCAAGGAATGAAATCTTGAAGTTTGTGCAAATAAGTTTTCCAAAAGTGCCACGATTTGATCCATCGTCTTGTACAAATTTCATAACCATGTTTGCTTCACAAAGCACCAGCTCACCTAACGGAAGTTAAATTTGCTTCTTAATATATTGCAGTGAACTACTTAGATTCTCAAATTCCAAGCTGCTCAAATGCTATCACTGTAGATGTAACTTGAGCTACTTAATTAAAGGGATTTTGCTACTGCTATTGCTCTAAACTGAAGAAATACTCGTTCAGTTTAAACTGTACTATCAGATCAGAGTTAAACACAGAGCAGTCAGCCTTAAACTGATATCAGAAACAACATTCTAAGAAAATTATGTAAAATACATCTAAATTAGGACTGTGTTATAAAAAGGAACCTCTCTTCTGCCCTGACATCCATTTAATCAGTAGTCTACTATTTTTATAAATAAGGCAAATAGGTTCATTTTCAAATAACACCATTTATCTTTCAAAGCAAGGAGTGTTAAGTTACAGAAATTGAAAACTACCCTAATAATAACAAATATTTGAATTTAGTTCCTCATTTGTTTACACACATTCCTTAGAATTCAAATCATCTACTTAATTGTAGCATGTAATGCACAACTACAGCATCCAATGTTGTGCAATATTATTTGTTTGGCATTACCTGGTAACAAGTGAGGTTCTACTTCTTTTTCTATAGGTTGCCTCACATATACTTCCTAAAAGAAAGGACATTGCATTAGTTCAGATGTTAAGCAAAAAGTTACATATTCAATAGACTGAAAACATATTTTGAAGGCAAATTACTTCTGCTGCGTTAGATTGGCATGTAGAAAACATTTACCAAAGTTATACAGTAACTGAAACCAACCTAACAAAAATGTGGAGAATTACAAGCATATAGCAACAGCGCAGATTATAAGAAAAGTACAATAATCTATTGCTGATGTGTATTAACCCCTGCTCTCTTTTTAGTATTAAACATTAAAAGAAGGAAAACAAAACTCACAATCCAAACAAGAACTCAACAAAACTGTTCAATAAAATTTAACTAGTGTTAAGAAAGCATTGGGAGGCATTATCATGCCCTAAATTACTCAAGAAAAGCATAGCACCTAGTATATGTTACATTTGTCAAAGCTAACAAACTAGCAAAACATAGTTTTGATAGTGAAAAGGAAGATTATAATTAAGTATTTGTAATGTCTGAAAATGTGTCTTATATGCTGAAGGCCCCAAGTTTTATTTTCTATTTTACCTGAAGCTTAACAATACTAGGAAAGACCTCTCCTTGCAGATTTGGGAGAAATCTTGGCAATCAAAATATTAAACTTCTATGCCACCAGACTGATAAATTATTGAGTTGACTCCCTACAAATTAAGTGGGAAACAAAATCACAGCTTCTAAAATTTTAGTTGATTCCAAGCAGTTCCACTTTGGTTCACACAATCAGGAGGGGGAAGACTCACAGAGCCACCAGTTCTGTGAGTCACCATTTCAAGCTACTGTTCCCCACCTCTGCCACAGAAATGTAGAAATGCAATAGGGGACTTTCTCTGCAAATCCCAGCTGGATCCAGCCCACTTTCAAATCAGGCACAAAGCACCTGGGCCAAGTCACCTGGATGATGTGGCTTACTTGGCACTTAAAGTGCGTTTTACTTCCACCAACATCCTTTGTAACAATCCCTATGGTTGCTTTGCAGAGCCCTAATATTCAAGTTTCAAACCTTCCATTCTCCAATCAAAATGATCTGAATCATTCCAATAGTTAGCTTGGTTCCTTGACTGTTCCTTTTTACCTCAGAGAAAGGAACTAATTTGTTTTAAAGATAGTTGCATTTTATATCAAAAATGTTTTGACAACTGTCAACAGGAAGCCAGCCAAATATAAACAGTTAACCATGAACGTTGCATACCAGCAAGTTTTGTACGGTGAAAAAAATAATGTTCTCAATATTTTTTCTACAGAAAAATACAAGCTTCCCAAAGCTTTTAAATTTTACCACTCTAGCATCCAAAATGAATGTGGAAAATACTTTAAAAAACTCAAAAAAGGCAAAATACTAATTCTTAATCAAAATGGAAACCAGTGTTTTCCTTTATATTACTACAGAGCTGGTTCATAAGCAAAAAATAAACACCACTTAGCCAGGGCTCTGAATCTACAGTTAAATTGTTTTTCCTCTAGTAAGAATAATCTTTTTTGCTATATCTCCTACTTCAAGTGACTACAATGGGAGAATTAAAAAAAAACACTCCATAAGGACTGACCAAATACTTATCAAAAATTGCAAACTGATAAAAGCTAAGTACTCATAACTTCATTTAGTCTTAGAAACTATACAAAGTTGTCCCGAAATCCTGAAAATCTGGTGTTATCATTCATTTTACATTAGTTAAAGCAGTGGTCCCCAACCTTTTTTGTGCCGCGGCCCGGTACCAGCATCACAAAATCATCCGCGGCCCGGTACCAGCATCAGCATGCATGGCAAGGCGAGCTGAGCGACCGGCCAGCCAGCTGTCCCCCGCTTCTCCCCGCCACCTTCAACTCCTTCTTTGTACCTGTGTCGATGGGCTTCGCGACGGCTTCAGGACGGTCACTCGGCTCGCCTTGCCATGCGTGCTGAAAGAATCCTCGCGCCTTAGTTTTGTTCGAAGCCGCCCCCGCCCCCGATGAAACTAAGGCACGAGGATTCTTTCAGCACCCAAACGCTGCTTTCTACCCGGAAAAGCTCACCAGAAGCACTTTTTCATCAAAACAAGATGGCGGTGCCCAGCAAACCGGCGGCCCGGTAGAAATTGTTCCACGGACTGGTACTGGTCCCCGGACCAGTGGTTGGGGACCCCTGAGTTAAAGGATTTGCACAAGGGATTACTTTTGGGACTTTAACCCTACAAAGCCTTAAACCACCCCCAGTTGTTTAACCCAGGGGTCTCCAACCTTTCTGGCTTTGTCAACCAGTTGGGGGGGGGGGTTCTGTGCAAGCAACCAGTGTGCATGCTTGTAGAGCTCCATTTACACAAGCGGTGGGTGCGCCCACCCACCACTTGTGCAAATGGAGCTTCCTGTGCGAGCTTCCATGGCCTGGTTCCAAATAGGCCGCGGACCCTTGGCATAACCTATTAAGGAACTCCAATACCAGTTCCCAAGAATTTTACCAATCAAACAAACAAACAAAAAACATGTCAGTTTAAATGTAGTTTCAGACTGCTTAACTGAAAGTTGAGCTAAATAATTATTGAGTACAATAATCCAAGTTATTTTGGGGGGGAAATTCCCCAAACATTTGAGTGTAATGTGATTTCTTTTCTGTTAAGCTGCGATACTTGCTAGGTGATCTTAAGTCAGTCCTTCTCGCATTCTGACCTTCTCATTAAACTGCTGTTTAAAAAACTGAGAAAAACTGCATAGACATTATATGAAGTTTCACGATTTCATAGTTTACTGGAACAAATATAACCCTCAATACAAGAGTTATTTCAACGTTCATACCCCAATTTTCTCTTCAAGCATTGTCTTTCTCACAGTAATGAACAATACTCAGAATTTATTCTACATAATAAAGCTATGTATCATTATTATCCAGGGATAATTCCTTAACTGAAATTTGTACAGCTAATATTATGCTTAGCATCAGAGAACTCCATCTAAATTTATTTTACCAGATACTCTTCCTTCCATAATGGATTATCATGAAGTTTTAAAGAAAGTCACATACTAAATGTTGATGCTGAGAATTTAGACAATTTGAATATTACATTATAATACTTTAAATATGAAATTCAGATTGTTCGACTTATGTTATATCTCTCTCTAGGAAGGCATGAATAATGAAACTAAAAAACAAGTATAACCAGTATGGAACTGGCCTGAAGGGCAAGTTCAAATATTTTTCTTTATTAAGAAACAGTTACAGTACTATACAGACAAGCAGAAGAATAGCAGAAACATTTTTGCATTTCTTTTTTTCTAATTTTAATTTTTTGGTAACTTGGCTTCTTTTTCTCTTTAATTTTCCACCCTTCCGAACCCCTCCATTTTTGTTATTTTGCATTTTATCTCTTTAAAATATGATGAAAACCCCTGAATTTCACAATAGACTAATTTAACCATAATATCAACTGGAAATCTGTGAGCATCTAAATCAGGGGTGTCAAACTCATGGCCTGCAGGCCGATGAGTCATGTGCTGGCCACGGCTACCTCTGATTGGGAAAAAAGTCCCAATATGTCATGTGATGATGTGACGACCTGAGTTGACACCTCTGATTTAGATCAAACCAAATCGAAAAAATGCTTGGGAAACCCTGGAAGCTCGGGACTCACAAATCAGCCATCAACAGGTACATAAATATTTTCATATCATTCAAAAGAGACAATTAAAAAAAAGCTAAAACAGAAACAAAAAAATCCAGAATACCTCCTGGTCAACAATTATACTCAAACAAGCAAAGATTCACACTTGGATTAATATAAGACAAACAAACAGTAAACAACCCAATCAAGCAACTACCAAGGAAAAACATCACCCCACCAACACTCACAGGGCTTACTATATACTGTATAAAAGTAGAGAGCAAACCCCATTCTCTTTTAGAATTGAAGATGTTACCTAGCTGGATAATGTAACTGTACAAGAACCAAGCTCAGAGAGCACCAAGGACTCCTCAGTTTCATTAACAGTTGTTATAGCTAGGATTTAAGTTTTCCAGAATCAACTTAATTCCATTTCAACTGCCCACAACAGGATGCTTCCTGTATGTGGACAGACTCAGTTATCACTACTAAATTACTAACCAAACATCTTCCTAGCTACACCATTACCAAGTCAATCGCAACCATTTTCTTCAAGCATTAATCAAAAAGCTATAAAGGAAGAAACTCATTTTGGGCTCCATTAAATGCAGGGCTCTCTACTTTCAATGGCTTTTTTTAAATCAAATAATATAATATTCTAATTCTTTATGATCTTATTGGCAGATTATGTATCTTCACTGTGTATCACACTGAATTCCAGCTTCCTTCTTACTACAGCCAGCATCTTAAGCTAATGAGTTGCTCATGGTCAAAATCCAATCAAAGCAATTTTATCTGTTCTAATTGTTCCAACAAAAAATTAATTTGCTAGTGATTCAGCAATGACTTTATTTCTAACCAAAGGATAGAAACCTGTAAGAGTTCACAAAAATAGTGTTCGTATTATGATATATTGAGCATAAAATAGCCAACTTCATGTTGCCTAAAAGTATGGTTCTGTGAGTCACATAAATCCAAAAGAATGACTTGAGTAAACTATGGTACATTTAATTATGGGAGTGTCATGTGAGCACAACCAATATATATCCTGCATACAATGACATCATCCAAGTACACATTCACTATACGAGCCTTTGTTCATATTCTGGCCATATCCTGACAATCTGGCTCTGTGACAAATTACTACTTGTTTCACTATTCATTAGTAATATTGGAATGTATACTTTAAATATACTGTTTCCAACTCCCTTCATTTTTAGTACAACCAAGAATGAAAATAATTAGGTAAATATCATTTATAAATGGCAAGCCTCAAAAGTAAAAAGGTATATTTCTGCTAATTTCATTTTTAAAAATAAATGGCTGCCATTTTAACAAACATGCATGAAAGCAATAAGGTGGTCTCAAAGTTAACTACCTTTTTTTGATAAATGACAGTTCTTAGTTGTTCATGTGATCTGCTAATCTACATAATAAATGGATAGGATGCATGCAGACTTGAATGCTGGATCAAGCCATAGTTAAAATACAATTGATTATCTAGTTTTTTAAAGCCAAAGTTTAAAAAAGCTCCCTCTTTTATCCAGACAGAGTTCTACCACATAGATCAGTAAGCTACTTAAAGGTATCCATGAGGGAATGAGGTGTCAAAAAAGCAGGTGCAAGCATGCAAGTGATAGCCTTTTTAAAAACATATCACAAACATCACATGCATGTAAAAAGGAATTGTGCTTCAATTATATCCACCATCTTGATGTTTTGGACACCCCTCTCCCCAACAGGGGCTTGTGAAAGAAAGTACTCTTCTTACAATCTTTTCAGGTCCTCCATATGCTCACAAATACATTATAGTTCATACATAGGAAGTGAAACAGGGACATAATGGAACTGAAGAAAAGATGTTTCTTTTCATTTACTTATTTCTGGGGGATCCAAAATCTTAACTCCCAGGAAACAAACAGGAAGCACTGACCTGGTCAGTCACTGCAAAAATTAATCTGTTTCTCTTGAGCTTCAGATTAGCCCATTATGTCAACATGCCCAATGTCAATCAACAATTTCTTTTTTTTACAACGCCCACATTTTATTGACATACAATCAAATTTATTAAGCAATATGTAATCAATTTGCTTTTCAAAACATTGATGTTATTAATGGAAGTTGTCATGATGCAACCGTCTAAAAATGAAAATACTTTGGGACATATATCCCTTTTGCTCTTCATGTAAACTTAAGTTGAAGTGGAAAAAGGAGATTCTGCAAGTGGAGTAAACTAAGTCTTGCAGAGTCCAGTGGTACTTAGTTTACTTTAGATAAAATACCAGTGTCCTAAGATTGTCACCAGATAACCAGAAGAAAATGCTTAGGGTAGTATAGCTGTATTTACTTACTAAAATCTCAGTAAACTTATTGAAGCAGGCTTTGGAGAATGCAAGCACAGACCATAGCACAAGGTATCAAAGATACAATTTTTTAATAAATGTGGCACATTTACTTTGCAGCACTGAAGTTTCATTTTTAGTCTACCTACCTACAAGAGTCTTATAGCACCTTAAATATAAACTAAGACACCAGACTTACAATGGAAGCATTTAAAAATTCTTTTGGAAGGCCCTATTTTTTTTTGGGGGGGGGGGAAATCTAATGACCAGATAAAGAGCTTCACCCAAGCATTGCTTTATCAGTTCTGGACACAGCTTTCCACGATTTTATCCGTGAAAAAGCTGAAACTGAAACAGAGTTTAAACCTCAACTCACTTCTCTTCAAACTTACTCTTTCTTTCTTGCCATGCTGCATCCCTACCTTTAGCTTTTAAACATTAAACTTGAAACACGGCCTTGGCTGTAAGCCAATCCCACCATAATACACTGATTAAAGTATATAAAAACCGCATGCTTTTCCTGAGGAAGCAGGTGCTTCCAGAGAGCAATTTACGCACCCGGGAAAAGAGGGTGGGGGAAGCACACGGATACCGTTTCACACATAATAACAGAATAACTTTGTCACTTTGAACGTACACTAATCGGGGTATCTTAAAATGAAATTTCGTTGCATTCAGCTCTCAAAGGGTCAACTCTTCTCACGTTTTACCCTCCCAAGCCCCCGTTTCTTTTGCTCTCCTTACTAGCAAAAGGGAAAGACGGGAAAACGGCACCGTTTATCCTCTGTTTTGGCAGCGCCAGAAGTAGCAGCCACCCCACCCCACACCTTTTGGACATTTAAATCTGTCCCACTCCTCTGTCCTCCCGAGGGTTTCGTAAACGGAGAAGACGCCGGCTGCCAAGAGTAAAATGCTCCTTATGGATCCTGACCCCACTTCCTCACAAGACACCACACAAAACCCCAAGGCTCCCTTGAATAAGGAAGAGGGATCCCATTTCCTAAGGGATGGGGAGGCGGGCAGGGGCTGAAAGGACGGCACCCCTCTCGCTTACAAAGCGGCCAAGTTTTTTTTTTGGTCGCCCCCCCCCGCGTCCTCACAGGACGACGAAGCCCCGGAAAAACCGCCGCCGCCGCCGCCTGAGAGGAAACCCTGAGAACCGAGCCGCCTTCGCCCCCGCTCTCGCGGGAACTCTTCTGAGAGCGCGCGCTCCCCACCCCCCCATTCGCCTCACCTCAGGGCTGATGTAGGAGACGAAGGAGGGCTTAGCCGGCTTAGCCCCCGCGCCCACCCCGGCGCCCAGCATGGCTTGCCCCCACGAAGTCCCCCCGGCGGCCCTGCTGCTGCTGCTGCTGCAGCCGGTGCCGGCGGGCAGGGTCGTCGGCGGTGTCGGCAGCTCCTCCCAGGAGGACTCCACATCCTCCGCCAACGCCGCCCTGTTCCGTCTGAAGTAATTGATCCCTCCCATCGCCCCGACCGGCCTCTGCTTGCTCTCCCGCGCGCCTCGCGGCGGCCCCTCCCTAATCCTCCCCATTTCTGGAAGAAGGGCACGGGAGGCAGCGACGCCATTGGTCCGGCGCGGCTTCAATCAAGGCGGAGGGCCACCCAGGCAGCGAAGCAACGAAGGGTGGGGTGGGGGGTGCTTACGGTCTGATCCTGGAGGATTGGGAAGAGCGAGCAGAGGAGCCAATCACAGCTTCAAGAACGAACTCCGATTGATAGTCGCTTTGTCCAATCAGTGAAGCAAAAGCCTGATTAGCTCCTTCTCCCCCCCTTTTTTTTTTAAATTTCAGCTGGAAGTTCGGACTTTGAATTGATTGCCCGTGTATGCCGCTCATTGTTTATGTATGTATATTTTTCAGGGTAAAGTATACGCTCAAATGAGGTTCCTTTTTTCACGCACAATGCATTTTTAAAGTCAAACATACGATGAAAAAAGTTGCAGTACAATTACAAAAACTTTTTGCGTGAATTCTAAGACTTTAAAAATATTCTTAGGGGGTCCGATTATTATGTACAAATACGGTATTGTAGGTAACACGCATTTATTGTAAAAGAGATAACTGAAAGGCAGGTGGATGACTTTGGACCAGTGGGTCTCTCTCAGCCCAATATCTTACAGGGTTATTGCAGTGGGAAAATACAGGTAGTTCTCCAGTTACAACAGTTCATTCTACTGACAGCTCGAAGTTCTCCAGTTCTCCAGTTACAACAGTTCATTCTATAACAGCACTGAACAATGTGGCTTATGACCACTACAGCATCCCCGTGGTAATATGATCAAAATCCAGATGTTTGGCAACTGGTTCATATTTATGATGGTTGCAGTATCCCGAGGTCATGTGATCATCTTTTGCTACCTTCTGACAAGCAAAGTCAATGGGGAAGCCAGATTCATTTAACAACTGGGTTATTAACCTATCAATAGAATAGAATAGAATACCTTTATTGTCATTGCATTCCACAAATACAATGATTTTTGAAAGCTACTCCAGCACAGTGCCCCAAACACCACATCACAATCACACTACAGAGTATTTAAAAATTAAAATAATTAAATAATTAAAAACCTAGTCTAAAACCTATCTAAAACATTTAGTAAGTTAAATAGTTTAAAAATGCCACTATATACATAGGACTAAATCACATATGCATTGTTTGATTCAAGACAATTATTATCTTGGAAAAGAAACTGTTTTTCAGTCTATTAGTCCTCATTTTAAGACACCTATAGCATCTCCCTGATGGTAACAGTTCGAAATATGAATGTCCAGGATGAGAATGGTCTGTGGAGATTTTTAGTGCTCTAGAGAGGAGTCTAGTCTTTGCAATCTCTTCCAAAGAAGAAAGAGGGCAACCGATGAATCAACTGTTGATTCACTTAACAGATGTGGCAAGAAAAGTCATAAAGTGGGGCAAAATTGACTTAACAAAAGTTTCATTTAACAACATAAATTTTGGACTCAAATGAAATCAAGGACTACCTGAATAAGGCAGGAGCATTATGTATGTTCATTATCTAGCATAGATAGATAGATAGATAGATAGATAGATAGATAGATAGATAGATA